CTGCTCTGCCCACCTTTAGGGGAATGGCCTCCCTCAGGCACCCAGGAACCTCCCCACCTCCCCACCCCAGAGTCCACGTCAGATGTCTAGTGACTTGCTGGGCTCAAGGAGACTCTGACTCCCCTCTTTGTCCTTAGGTGGGAAACACTATGCAATACAAGCTTCCTCTTCCTTCATGCACGTGTTTCTGCCAGTGGGCGGCCCCCCAGCCCTCTTCAGGGCAGCTCGGCCTGGGCTCTGGCTGGGTCTTTCAGGCAGGCCAGCTGGAGAGTCCTCTGGCGTCTAGTTTTCATCCTGTTTCATTAGTATTTTAAGAACATCAGTTGACTTCCCTTTCCTGTTCTTGAAGAATACTTGAATGTCAGGGGGCCTTGGGGTTGGGGGGCTCAGACACTGCCTGTCCCCAAGTCTTGGACAATGGTTGCAGTCTGGGGGCTGATGCCTGCCTGGCCACCTGAATCTGTGGACCGGCCTTTCCACAGACCCCAGGGTGGGCAGCCACCCCCACCTCCATCATTTCTTGCCTATTAGTGATTCCATGTGTCACGCCTGGGGGTTCTGCCTTTCTGTAACAATGGGCCTCACTGGCTGCAGGCGGTGTGGTCAGTTCAGCCTGGAAAGCTGTGAGCAGCGTTTTCTTCTCAAAGATGGGACAGCTACTCACTCTTCCCCCATCAGATCTCCGGTGCAACCAGGAGGCTGGCCAGAACCGTCACTGTGAATGAGGGCCTGGGTCCAGGGCGTCCCAGGCTGCGAGGCTGCTCTAGTGCTGAGGGAAGGGGGAATGGCAGTGTTTCCATGTTAATATAGAAAAAAAAGACAATTTTCTTTAAAAGTGGGGGAAAGATCCAAGCACACTTTAACTCCACTGTACCAGGTAAACTGACTGCATGCCCCCTACTGGGGATTGAGCCTGCAACCCGTGTGCCCTTGACCAGAATCGAACCTGGGACCCTTCACTCTGCAGGCCAATGCTCTATCCACCGAGCCAAACTGGCTAGGCCCCCCCAGACCTTTCTTCCTCTCCTTCCTTGGCCCCTTAGGTTTCCCCATCCTGCCAGCTGATCTCAGGGCCCAAGTTCCATCCCTGTCTGGGTGGTAGTCTGAGGTCCTTGCACCTGGTTCTTGGGCCACATGTCAGGCCTGGGGCCCTGAGAGAGCCTGTCACTTAGTGTCCCAGCTCCCTTGGGGTCCAGGCTTGCCCATCAGAGATCAGGACCTGGGCCTCGGCCCTTTTGGCTGCAGCCGACCCTCCTGCATGTGTTCCCTCCCCCATCTCCACCCCGGAGCTGCTAACCCCAGTGAGGACCCACGGGGTCAGGGGCGAGCTGGGAGGGGCGGGGCGAGGGGACAGGATTACATTCTGTCCAAAGAAGTGGTTTGGGACTTCCGGGAGAGATGTGGGGCAGCTTGTTGTCTCCGTGCTGGGGCCTTGAAACTCGGGATTTCGCTTAGCAACAGCCGCTGATTGGCCCTTCGGCTGTGATGGGGCGGGACCACGGTCAGGCAGGGAGG